AAATAGTTAGATATTTGAAATAAATAAGCAGATAAATAGGTAGTCCCAGCAGATATAATAATCTATAAGGTGTATTACAACCAGATATTTACAAGTAGTATTTCTAGGAGTTACTATACATACCATTGGATAGGATAGATATAAGTTATACATATGCATATATTGATATACACCCACATACACGTATATACATATATATGTATTCACCTACACACACTAAGACGCTCATTGAAAAAAAAAAAATACCATGGTGCCTTTCTATTACCAGTGGTCTATTTACTTATATTAGTATGTCGTCAACTCCCTTTTTTTTTCTTTGCTTTCCTTTTACTTCCTCACATTGCTTTATATTCTATTCTATGCATTAGAATATCTGCTGCACTGGCGAGGACCTGAGGGTGCCAACAGGCAGCCGTAGAACTAATTTACACAGCTTTGAAAGGGGGCTAAAAAGAAAAGGCAGGGATTAACCACAGGCCAATTACAGAGCTGGCTAAACCTTGTCTAACTGGAACAAACAGATGCAGAGGTCCAGGCTTTGTCCACACGTGTTTTGTTGCCTTTTACAAAAGAGGGTAAATACATATTGATTGAATAGAAACAGTTGAGCTATAGTTGAACATAATTAAAGAATAAAAGTCAGATGGATTCAGGGACATATGGAAACACCCATAAGAGGTGAAATGACAATGAATGCATATTTTTGGTACACATTTTCTTTATTTTAACAATTATCTATCTATCTATCTATCTATCTATCTATCTATCTATCTATCTATCTATCTATCTATCTATCTATCTATCTATCATCCATCCATCCATCCATCCATCCATCCATCCATCCATCTGCAAAAATCACTAACAAAACAGGTCTATTTTTCGATATTTCTTTAAATAAACCACTGTCAAAACCAATTTGTCTCTGTTTTTTTCATGTAATTAGCACACACTGGCGTGGAAAAGAAAATAGCAAACAAATTCCGTAGTTACCTTCTTTGTTTTTTTTTTTTCATGTAATTAGCACACACTAGCATGGAAAAAAAAATAGCAAACAAATTCCGTAGTTACCGTTTAGATAGGAAATTAGGTTTAGAACGACACACACAGCTTAAAGACTTGACAGCGGAAATACAATTAGTCTGTTTAAAGAATAAATTGCAGGCTTGTTATAAAACAAAGATGGAGAGGCTGTGACTTTTTCTCTTGTAGGGAACACAAGTTTGCCTACGTCTCATATTCACGCCTCCACAAGTATCCCTGTCAATCACTAGCACACACGCAAACACGGAGGCTCTAAGGCCAAAGTATCCTTTCAGAAGATTCATTTAGTGTTTGGGCTTGTTTTCCTAAGTAGGAGTGAAATAGAGAAAAACAGAGAAAAAAAAATCCCTGCAGAAGGATTCGGAAATTGTGCCACAGCGTAAACGTGTAAGTGACCCAGGGCAGATCGCATCTGCTGTGAGCGATAAGGAAGAAAAGGTTTCACCACATTCGGGCCTCAGCTAATATGATGCCATCTGGAATGGCACTGACAAGGTGAGGAAGGCCGAGGACGGGGACCTGCTGGACGACTCGCTGTGGTCATGATGTGCTGGAGGTCAACAGCAGTGGCTTAACAGATGTTGCTGGTACCTCTGTCTGTCTGCTTATATGCAGTATATAATGCACCCCACATCCACAGCAGCTATTACGCAGTAGGCCACGTATGTCAAACTGAAGGCCCATGGGCCAAAAGTGGCCCACCAAGTCACACTGTGTGGCCCGTGGGAGCTTAAAAAGTGTTTAATTGCTTTACAATAAAGTCCATGCTGCTGAGTTTTTTTTAACTTGATAAATGTTTTTATATTAGAGCAATGTAGAACATTTGGTATTTTTAAAAATAATAAAAAAATAATAAACAATTGCATAAACATGTATTAATAAATTATGGAGTAGTTACATTTTTAAAGTCTTCCATTTACAACCGGTCCTTCAAGGGGAACTGTATTGCTGATGTGGCCCCCCAGTGAAAATGAGTTTGACACCCCTGCAGTAGGCTATCCAAACTAGACTAGTGTATCCTGACTGTACTGACAGTACAGTGCACTCATGCATTAATACAGAGCAGACCCTCATAAAAGTATCAGAATAAAAATGAAACCCATTTAACTTTTGTGCATAATGAAATCAAAGTGAACTACTTGTCATTGTGACACAGCAAACCACTGAACACAACTAAATGTGACCTCTGCTTTTAACCCATCACCAAAGCAACTACGGGCAGTGCCATACTCAGCACACCTCAGTGGTAACTTGGCAGCTGATGGACTTGAACCTGAAACCTTCTGGAACCAAGTCCACTTCCTTAACCACTAAGCCACCAATCATGATGTCAATACCCAACATGCATTTGTGTCAGCTCCAGGTGGGAGGCTCTGCTTGTGTCAGACTGATGCACACTGACTGAGACCTTACCCAAACAGATTGGGCGAAGCTTAAGACTGATTAATATTAATGAGAACAACAGCTTCACTGAGATTTTGAAAGGAACTTGACATGTTCTACTTTCACCATCAAGATGCAAAGTAATGACAGAAATCCACCAACACTGTTAGGTCTGTCTCTTTCCAGTTCCTGCTGTCTGCTGTGTGGGGTTAATCAGTGTCATCACACTCACCTGTGTCTCTGTCATTAGTCTCACAGGCGTCACCTGGTGCCTTGGGTATATATACACCTCGCTCCCTCACTCTGTCTTTGTGGGATTGTTGTTCGTTGGTCAAGTTGTGTGGTGAGTGTGTTTTGTTTATCCTGTCTGTGCTAAGGCCATGTTGTAGTGATGTGAGTTTTTGTTTTTTGCACTTTGTGAATAAACCTGCTGCCCCTGAAGAGAGCCTCCCTTGTGTTGCATTTGTGTCCTGCCTGCTTCCTGCCATGTTGACTACACACAACAAACACTGTGAATCAAAATGTTATTTTTACGTTTAATATACTTTTCCCAAGATTCTTCCATGTTTAAAAAAAAACCCCAAAACATTTGGATTAGTTAAAAGTAAAAAGAGGTGTGAAACCCTCTTTTCTGTTCCAGCAATATACAGACATCAAATTTTGTCATTAGTTGTTGATTTATATTGATACATCATGATCAAATGTGATTATATATGATCATATAATGATTACATTTGCCACAACTCTAAATATCCTGCAAAAAAAAAGGAGTTGCACAGAGCAGTTTGGACAGAACACTAACAGCTGCTGTTGCTTTATCTGATGCAGCGAAACACAGCGGTGTTGACATTACATGCTCCCTATCAGATTTAAAGTCAACCCTCTTGACATTTCTTCTACCATCGCATTTTGCTTGAAAAACGGCTTTCATGAGTAACTGCTGGTGGGGGAAAAAAAACCTGGATCACGTCTATACAGTCCTGCAGTGATTTGGTGGGTTTGACACAATTGCAACACTTGGCGTATAAGTAATTTTAAAGTAGGCTGACTTGGGTAATCAAACATGCTGTAGAACAGGGGCAGCAAGTTCCATTTAATTAAAGAGTGTTTAAGGTTTTGTATTTGATGTGGCAATTGCTGTTTTTCAATCCCTTTACAAGTCAACAGAGGATGATTGTATCTCTGAATATATAGGTCTACAAAGATGAGGGCATATTCTGTCCATGTAAATATATAGATAATTAAAAGAACCTGCAGCAAAAATAAGTCTATGTACATTTATCGGTCAAAGTGTATGTGAAAGCTCCCAAAGGATACTCTAATGAAATCTATCACCCATCGGATGCTAATGGAGTTGATTGTGTGCGCTCATTAGTTTTTTACACAACTTGATTGTGTGCTGGTGGTGTGCGCTCATTAGTTTTTTACACAACATAGTTAGTTCTGGTGATATATGTAATTGACTTGGAAATGTGTTGCTAACATTAGCACAATTGTGGTAACCACTGCACTGCACTAAGCTGCTGCTCGTTCAGCATGTGATTATTGTATTATAATTATTGGAGGAGCCAGGTTGAAGCTTTCTACTGATGGATTGGGCAGAAGGAAAAGGAAAGTTGTTCAGTGATCTTTAGGTTCAAGTTTTGTAATTAATTTTTTTTAATTTTTTATAATAGTACAATGGCTAACGACCTCCAATCAGTATTAGGTTTTAGCAGCCCCCCCCCTTTGCAAACCCAAGGCAATGCTACAAAATATATAATTAACCTAGAAGAGCGTTAGTCTTGAATGTATTTTCTTATAATTCTGCTCCAGCCAATTCTTCTTTTCCCTTCGGCTTGTCGGTTCTGCTTCTTGCACTGCATTAGGAACGGCTACAATTTTTTTGTACTGAAAGTATAATGACAAAGGCATTCTATTCTATTCTATTGTCCCTTTTTTCAGGGGTTGCCACGGCGAATCATTGTTTTCCATTTCACCCTGTTCTCTGCATCTTCTACCCCGACTATTTGCGTGTCCTCCCTCACTGCATCCATAAATCTCCTCTTTGGCCTTCCTCTTTGTCTCCTACCTGGTAGCTTTAGCCAATTGCTTGTCAGAAACACAACCATTTTGCACTTTCTGGCTGGCTTGAAGAGCATAGCAGTTTTCATAACTGGCGCAAACTGCAAATCCAATGTTTATGGCAGTTTTCATGTTAAACAGTCCAGGAAAAATGTGTATGTATATATATATATACATATATACACATATATATATACATATATATATATATATATATATATATGTATATATGTATATGTATATATATATATATGTATATGTATATATATATGTATATGTATATATATGTATATGTATATATATGTATATGTATATGTGTATATATATATATATATATGTATATATATATGTATATATGTATATGTATATATATGTATATGTATATGTATATATATATATATGTATATGTATATATATATATATGTATATGTATATATATATATAAAGAAGATAAAAGAAGATAAAAAGAAAAAAAATTATATATATATAATTTTGTTTCTTTTTATCTTCTCTCCAATTTTCTGACGCCTCCATAGTGCCCCTGGCAGCTCTCACTTTGAAAACCTCTACATAACAGTCCTGGATGTAGCTAGTCCAATGACTGCTGGGATTTGCATTGGGTGAGAAGTCACAAGATAATGTGACTTAAAAACATACATATATTTTAATGTTTATATTGCACTACGGCAATACATGAAGTGGGGTATCTGCTCTTGTAGTAAGTAGCTAGCTGCCAGATGAGTTGGAGGTGTAAGTGCAGGTGTACGACCATGGCCACTAGCTCCGATAAGTTGCCCAGTGTATCAGCCAGGATAAGTTGCCCAGTGTAAGTGGCAGATTAGGGCAACCTCAATTCTTTTTATCTCTCCAGACATGCATTAGACTTTCTAATATGGCTCCAGACTGAGCAGACAATCTCATTTTATAAATGCTCTGCTGAATGACCCGCCAGTCGCTACGGCGACGCCTACATCTTCACCATTTCTTTTTCATTCCAGGGGGATAATTAAGAGTCAGGGACTAGCGGTGCTCGTGATGGACGCGTGGGTGCATGTTCGGAGGCTTACCACCTATCGGCATCACTAAAAGGTAATTGCTCGCTCAATGGCCTGTGCACATTCTCTCTTTTGTCATCTTGTAAAGATGCATTATCTGCCTTTTTAGCTTTGAAAGTGACAAACATGTAACACAGTTTTAAAATAAATGCTTATTTTTTGTATTTCCTCCCTGTATGTTAGATGCCATTTCATTTTTTTTTTTTTACAAGTCAGTATAATCTCTATTTATCCTTGTCCTGAAAAAGACGCAACTTAAATACTACATTTTTACTTGCTAACATCATTGTCACAAAAAATGAATATCATAATTAGTTCTCAGAGAAGCGGAATCACTTTAGACGTCTTAGTGCTGGTGGTAATATGTTACAGAGACCGGGACTGAAAAATGCTTCCTAAAATATAAGCTGTGCCTGGAAATCTTTATCTCTGAGACACAAAATGTTCTACCAAAGTAAATTGGTCCTTTTTGTCTGACCCACCGTCACATCAGTTCTAGTGAGCGCTGTGGTATAGAAATAAGAATCACCCCTCTGATGAACACACCCACCTAAGCAAGAACAGCAGACTAGCACTGTGACAGCAATTTGTGTTAGAACTTGACCACCGTGAAAAGAAATTATTTTTGTTTTAACCGCAGGAAAATGTGTGTTGATTTCAACCCTCCAACACTTGAAATGAAGTTGTTTTTGTATTTTTATATATTTTTATACCTCTTGCTTTTCATTTAACTGTTTTTTTTTTTCTGGTTAAGGATATCCATGATGTATGGACAGAAAGGTCATGAATTTCTCAGTTTTTAAATGTTCACAAGTTAAAAAGTCAGTCTCAGATTGAAAAACTGGGTGTAATATTTTTATTTCTGTCCTGTGGGAATTGACTATTTGGAATTGGAACAATGTACTTTTTTAAAAGAGAGACAAAACTAGATACTAAATTTCTGTTTGATACAGTTTCGATGAGCTTCACTTGGTATCAGAGAGCACAAAAATGAACTAATTTATCCTTTTAGTTTTCCTAATTTTCTTCAGCAGCACTGAGAGGCTTTGATTTTACTTTTAAATTGGCATTTTTCAAATTAATGGGGTTCAGTATTTGAATGAGAAAAAAATATATAAACCACAGAAAATAATCACTTCATTAGCATTTTTTTGTATTTTATTTTTCAAGGCCATAAAGAAAAAAAGACCTGGAATCACACGATTGTCAGGTAAATGTTAAGATCATGTTATAAAATAAGCAAGAGATAGCGCCATTAAAAAAATAAATAAAATAAAACTATATATATATTCTGTATGTATACATAGTACATATATACACCATGGTCCCTCCTTTGGTTCTCCTTTTGTTCCCTTAGTACATGGCAGATTCCTTTATACAAATCTCGTGAGAGTTTATATCGTGGCATTGTACAGTAAATCATTTTTTAAATTTCCAATATTTTTATTTATTTTTATTATTTTCGTGAAAAATGTTTCTAACCAAAAGAATTTAACAGTAAAAATATAGCAAAAAATAAACTAAAATCACCTCTATTGCCTAGAAAATTACCTAGAGGAGATTGAACACAGCGTTGTGTTCCTCTCTCTGATTGGCTCATGCATCGTAGCATCTCTCAGCATCTCCCCTTGTCTGTCCGCCTTTTGTTTACTTTGCTCTGCGCTGTTATACATATAGTACGTTGTTGTAAAGTTAGTGCTGTTGTGTTTGGTGAATGTTGACCCTAATTTAACGTCCTACGATGCCTCCTAAACGCTCTGATCATCTTCTCAGGCTTCATACGAAGACACTGACACAGATGACAGTTAACAACCTTTATTTCTATTTACAATAATGTGTGCTCCTGCGCTGTGCCAGGCTTTCATGGAGGGTTCATAACAGTATGGGGGAGGTTTCGTAAAGGGTAAATATATAAATATACGTAAATAATATCCCGACTTGTACTAATATAAGGAGAGGCTGGATTACTCCAACTGTGCTCACCTGCGGTCGGGGCTGCACCTGCGTCGCCACTCCCATGCTCTCCCTTCTGCAGCTCAGCACTAACCTCCACTGCGCCCCCAGAATGTGCATATACATTGAATTTTTTTTTATAATTAGAATGTATTTTACATTGTTTTTCATGGTTGTGTACTTAATTTATTTATGTAATATGTATGTCTTATATTACCATTCTACAACTCTACTGTGCCTGTAATTGTGTGAGAAAGGGTAATACAGTGTAGGGGAGGTTCGTAAAGGGTAAATATATATGGAAATACTTTGCGGATTTCGCCTTCTGGCGGTGGGTCTTGGAACACAACTATTGCAATTGTACTTGAACAGGTTGCAGGCTGTTTGACTATCAGAACTAGTACAGAAAAACTTATAAACTATATGTCAAACAACTATAAAGTCATGTGGAACTTGACCTCAGTTGAATCATCGTCACTTTTCTGTCAGGTGCAATGAGAGTGCGACAGACAATGGACCCTGCGGTGAGGGTTCAAATCCAGGCTTTGGAAACAGTCATTTAAAATTCTAGTCTGTTCCATAGTGTAGCGGTTAGCATGCCTGCTTTGGAAACAGAGAGCAGAGAGTCCTTGGTTCAATTCCCAGACAATTCATGCTTGGTACCTGCTGGGTGCAGCCTGTCAACAGCATATCTACTGTTAACACAAGAAAGTCTCAGTTGTTCTTTTTTTTGTTGCTTTAATAGTGGAGATCACAGTGGGCCGGATTGGACTGTTTCGGTGGTCTGCATTTGGCCCACGGGCCACCAGTGTTTGGTAATCAAACGTTGTTACTGCAGCACCAGCTGTGTTTCCAACTCCCTCAAGCCTGAGGCCAGATGTGCAGCTAATTGTCACATGTAGGGTTGAATCTCAACACCCTACCCTGACAGAATCCAGCATGGAGAGATTTATGTAGCATGTGTCTGGTTTTATGTGTGGCTGTGTATGAGACGCTTTAAATGTAAAAGCCTTCCTTCCTGCTTCCCCTCTGAGTTCTCCGACCCCTGGGAAAACCTCTGTCAACACTGATGAAACCCCCCGTGCTGTGCTATGCTGATACGCAGGTGTTTCGCAGTTTTGACATGAGGGAGACCTGTTACTGTGGTGATTTGAAATGAATCCACCAGGACTGGAGAAGCTAGAGCAGGTATCTGCAGAGCTGTGATCCTGGGGGGGGGGCAGTGTAGTGTTTTAGGAACCACACTCAGCTGCCTGACCCAGCAAAAGCCCGATGTTCAGCACCTTGTTAAAGCAGCGGTTGGGGTGTAGCTCAGAATATCTCTTTGGGAGCCCTCTGGCTCACAGTGAAAATGAAATCAGTCAGCGCTCA